GATGCACTTTGGGGGTACAGTGTGGTGTTTTCATACACAATCCAAGACACTTCCATCAAACTGGTTAACATAGCCTTCATGTAACTTTCTTAGTCATTATGTCAAAACATTCAAATTCTACTCATAGAAAGATTCACTTGTACCCTTGCAAAATGAATATTTTATTTTTTTTATTTTTTTTGAGACAGAGCCTCAAGCTGTCCCCCTGGGTAGAGTGCTGTGGAGTGCAGTGGTGTCATTATAGCTTACTGCAACTTCAAACTCCTGAGCTCAAGTTATCCTCTTGCCTCAGCCTCCCAAGTAGCTGGGACTGTAGTTGTCCGTCACAACACCCAGCTAATTGTTTTATTTTTCATAGAGACAAGGTCTCACTATTGCCCAGACTGGTTTCAAATTTGTGACCTCAAGTGATCCTCTTGCCTTAGCCTCCCAAAGTGCTGGGATTACAGGTGTGAGCTACCATGCCTGGCTTATTATTTCAATTTTTATAGTAAGAAGCAAATCTAGAAAAGGAGATTACACACCATGAGTAGAGCTCAGTTCTAGTTTTTTGGCCCTCCCCTTCCCAGCTTCTGCATATTTTCTACCAGAAGATTCTGTAGTTCTCACACCTTAGTTCCTAACTACTTTGATGCCAAAAAAATAAAAAGTCATATGGATAGATAGATGGACACATGGGCCTACCCCAGATCAAATAATTCAGAATCTCTTAAGGTTAGGCCGGTTTGGGAGCCACCACTCTATTCTGTGTTAGCAGAACAAATCTAAATCCTGAACTAACCATTTTTTCCCATCTAAGGAGGCAGTTTTGTGAAATGAAGTGAGGTGTTTTTTGTGTGATTTTTCCTTCTTTCTTTTTTTTTCTTTTAGTTAGAGCTTTTGAATCAGCTCTACCTATATTCAAATTTGACATTTGCTCCTTGCTAATAACTATCTCCTATGGCTTATTGTGAGGATAAATAATACAAGTAAAGATAAATGTATGTAGTAGGGCCTAAACAAATGTTCTTTTCTTCTCTCTTTCTGTCTTCTATATTATGTTTGAACTCCTAAGTCTTGGAAGCAGGAACTCCAGGATTGTTCCCTATCTCTGATTTGGAGGTTGGGTGGAAGTTAACTTGAGTAGGTATGCAGTGGTCTGCAAGATGATCCTCACACTTTCCATCCTTCAGAATGATAAAGGAGGGAGTAAGAAACAGATGCCATGGCTCGGCGCCTGTGGCTCAAGTGGCTAAAGTGCCAGCCACATACACCTAAGGTGGCGGTTTCGAATCCATCCGGGCCCACCAAACAACAATGATGGCTGCAACCAAAAATAGCTGGGCGTTGTAGTGGGTGCCTGTGGTCCCAGCTACTTGGGAGGCAGAGGCAGGAGACTCACTTGAGCCCAGGAGTTGGAGGTTGCTGTGCGCAGTGATGCCATAGCGCTCTACCCAGGGGGATAGCTTGAGGTTCTGTCTCAAAAAAAAAAAAAAGAAAGAAAGAAACAGATGCCACTGTCTATCCCTGTAGATCCTGCCTTACGGCTGTAACACCAACCACCCTGGAGCACCTTTGGGGCTGGTACATGCTCCTATTTCTCCTTCAGGGTTTGCTTTTCAAGAAGTAGCCTCTGGAAGTTCTGGGAGTCAGAAATGTGACTTGGTAAGCCTGGAGTGTGTTTCCAGGGATGTTGCCTCCTATAGGCGCCAAGGAAACACAGGAGAGGCCCAGAGGACTCGGAGCCTGTGGAGCTAACACCTGTGGGCTGGTGGGACTTGCCATGGAGGTGGCACTGTTGAAGTGGGACATGTGTTTCCAGCTGCTTGTCCTGGCTTAGCAGTTGGTCTCTAGAAACCCTGTGGAAATACCAACCTAGAAGGCCAATACCAAGTTTTGGACTTCTCCTGTTTTCTTTTCCCTTTCCCTCTTCATGGGTAAAGGTCAAGGGGCTCCTGAACTCCCTATAACCTGGTGGAATAGCTCTGGCAGTGCAGTATCGGTAATGCAGACAGGTTGAGGCTGACTCCCTGGCTTGGGGGAGTTGGTGCCCTGACTTGCTTGTTCAGCATTTGGCTTCAGCCTGGGTTAGAGGGTTCCAGGCAGGGCTTATATGTGGTCCTGTGTCCTGAGAAGCCACCTATGGGGAGACTCGGGTGTCAGGAGGTAGAGTTGAGGGTCAGAAGTGGATGAGGGAGGCTTTTCCTAGCTCCCAGAAGATAGATTACCAGGCTTCAGACCAGTGTTATATCGCAAGTTCCTTGAAACCAGGTGTCTTAGGGACATTTCTGACTATGCTGCCATGCAGGAGTTTCAGAAGATGGGCTGAGGGCTAGAAGAGGAATCTGGACTAGTTATGTGGGTGCTGGGACAGAACAGTTCCAGTGGTTCTGGAGTCCCCAGCTTTTACTTTCTCAGACCAGCTGAGGCCTTGTGAAAATCAGAGAAGGAACACAAGGAATGAAGAGCCATGTGCTCATGACTCAGAGATGCCCAGACCAGGGTGGGGGCTCAGTGAGGGGATGGCCTTGTGATGAGGGGGAACAAGAGCAAAAGCTGGAGGCAGAAGTTTGAGATGGGAGTGTCAGAGGGGTTTTTCTTAAATGTAAAAATGAATACATGGGCAGATTTTGCAACACCACCCAGCCTGCTGTCTTCTCAAATCTGCTCCCCAGGCTCTGCCTGTTCCCCTCCCCGCTCTGTGCTTCCTCCCCTGCTTCACCTTTCCCTGTCCTTTCTCATCCTGTTCCTTCTGTCCCACCCCAGGCCCTATGTCCACTCTTTCCCTCTTTCCTCTTTTCTCTCCCTGGTGCCCTGTTCATCTCTGTTTCAGTCCCTCTGGCTGCCTGCCCTGGCCCTTGTCCTATGCTTTAATGTGGGGCCCATGGGAACTGGAGTTCACAGCAAAACAGGAAGAGCCCATGAGCAGGAAATTGGGAATGGGGCAGGGGGTGAGCGACCAGCAGTAACCTTAGCTCCTTGCCGCCCACATCTGGACCGAAGCATCTGTAGAGCTCTCAGCCTCTTCCTTGCAGCCCACCAGCCCTGGTTTCTTCCATCTCAGCCCTTCCCTGGCCCATCAGACACAAGAGGCAATAAGACACCATTGCTCTGGACTCTGAAATAGCACAAAAAGCACAGAGTAGAGTGAGGACATCTGGATTCTGATCCTAGCTTGTCCACTAACTGTGTAGTCTTGGAAGAGGCCCTCATGTGAGCTTCATTGCTCTATGTCAAATGGGGCTCTGATTGCTTACTCTCCCCCTATCTTGTGACTGTTCTGAGGACCAGAAAAAATAGGTGTTTATACCACATATGGAAACAAGCACAAGGTTCATGTATGGATTCAAGGTGATGGGAAGACTCAGCTGGAGTGAAGAGGTAGCGATAACTGCTGCATTTCTTGAACACTGTGTTCTACACACTGCTGTGATCTATTATTTCATTCTCAACAACCTTATGTGACAAAACTATTATTACTATTCCTATGTTAAAGATAGAGAAACAAAGATTCAGAGTCATCAAGTAACTTGCTCGATCAAAATCACACAGGTAATAAGAGGCAGAGCCAGGAATTGAACCCAAATTCTGGGCCCAGAGCCCAAATGCTAATTCACCATGCTGAGTTAAAATTGACTATAACTAGCAAGTATAGTATGGAAGAGGATCAGATTTTTCTTGTTTATTTACTCATTTAACAAACAGGAACCCAGGACCTACTCTGTTACCTCCTCTGTGCCAGCCCTTGTTCCCAGGGTTATTTGGCACATAAAATCAATAAAACGTGGTGTCTGCCTTCAGGGATAGATTTCATGTCCCAGACGCAGGGCAGGAAGACTATGGCTATAGTCTCAGTAGATGCCGGATAGAGGCTGCCATTACTTCAGATGGGACTGTCCCCAGATGAGGCAACCTGCATACCTTCCCAGGTCCATTCTAGGATGGCACCTGGGTTGCTGGCCACCTGCCACCCCACCCCTAACCCAGGCTTGCCATTGCTCACAGCTGACTTCCTACCAGCCCGTCTCTCCTAGCCTCATCTCTCTGTGGCCCCTGCTGGGCACCCACATACAGAGATTCCCTGCAAGGCCCAGCACCTGCCTCTTTCCACCCCTGGAGTTCTACCAGCTTGGCTAAGGCTTAGAGCTAGTCGGGAGAGCTTCTTGGCCCCTTCCCAGAGGCAGTGGAGGAGGAGGGAGGCTGGGAAAGCAGGCTGGGGCTTGGTGTTGCAATTCCAGGCTGTGCTGGGACCTTTGCTCTGCGAGGTGTCCATAGAGGGGAGGGAACGCTGACTCTGGAGGCTGCTGGGATTGGGGTGGGGGTGCCTGGGAGGCAGTCCTTCTGTAAGAATAGCTTAGAGCTGCTGGGGTGAGGAAGAGGAAAGGGGGAGACCTGGAATTGTGCCGGTCTGCAAGGAACTATTACTGTCTTAGTTGGGGGTAGAGGGTAGGGGTGGCGCTAGGCTGAGGGGGTGGCTAGCTGGGGAGGAGTCAGGCTGGTGGGGAAGCTGCTCTGTGGGCGGGGGCTGAGGAGGCGAGGGCTCCAGTCGGCTCCGGCTCCGGGTCGCCAGGCAGGAAGGAGAGGTGGCCCGACCCCTTGGCAGTTCCTCCCCTCAGCCTTTCCCTATACTGCTACTTCCCTGGGACGCCAGGTCCCTCTTGTGCTCAGCTCCAGCTCACCGCGCTTAGACTTCTGGACAAGGGATTGCACCATTCTCTTCTCCCAGCAAGGGGGCTCCAGAGACTGCCCAGCCAGGAAGTCTGGTGGCCTGGGGATTTGGTGGGTCTGCTTCTTAGCAGCAGCCTGGTCTCTGTGTGTGGGTTGGGGTGGAGGGATCTTTGAAAGGGGTCTCCAGTAAGAAGTAGGGGTGGGTGGGTGGGTGGGTGATAGTGATGGAAGCCCAGGACAGGGATGAGGGTCTATTTAGATCCCAGAATAACTCATGAGGGGTTGGGAGGAGGAGGTCCTGTATACAAAGTGGGAAGACTTAGAGGCAAGAAGTTGCTGCTGGGATCTTGGAAAGTGGCAGGAGTTGAGTTTCTCTAATAAGCAGCATGTTTCACTTGGTGGAGGGAGCCTCAATTCTATCTCTTGATCTTGCCCAATTTGGCTGTCATTGCTGGAGTGAGGGGGAAGGGGCCTCAACAGAAGGAGGGCAGATGTACCCAAACATTTCCTGATGGCCTAGAGGGGGAATTTGGGGAGAAAGGCAGGCATGGTGTCTGGGAGCTCAGACTCTGGAGTCAAGGTGACCAGGCCTGGAGTCTTGGCTCTGCCACTGCCCAACCGTTATCTATAGGCAGTGTAGTGAATCTCTTTTTTTTTTTTTTTTTTTTTTTTTTTTGAGATGGAGCCTCAAGCTATCCCCCTGGGTAGAGTGCCATGGCATCACGCTCACAGCAACCTCCAACTCCTGGGCTCAAGCGAGTCTCCTGCCTCAGCCTCCCAAGTAGCTGGGACTACCGGCGCCCACCACAATGCCTGGCCATTTTTTTGGTTGCAGCCATCATTGTTGTTTGGCAGGCCCGGGCTGGGAATTCAAACCCGCCACCTTAGGTGTATGTGGCTGGCGCCTTAGCCGCTTGAGCCACAGGTGCCGAGCCTAGTGAATCTCTTTGAACTTCAGTTTGCTCATCTCTAAAATGGGTTTAAGAATAGTCCTGAGCCAAGCATGGTGTCGCTTGCTGGTAGTCTTTGCTGCTCCTAGGTTGACATAGGAAGATTGCTTGAGCTCAGGAGTTCAAGGCTATAAGAGTATGTGAGTGTGCCTGTGAATAGCCATTGCACTGTACCTCCAGCCTGGGCAACATAGCAAGACCCCTATCTCAAAGAAAAAATAGTCTTGATTTCATAGTGATAGGTAAAGCACATAGAGCTTTAGTGTAGACTAATAGTGTATGGCAAGTAAGTTGGCTGATGTTGTTAGTGTGAATAAAAGACAGGATCAGGAGGAAAAGGGAGCTGAGGCCAGGAAGGAGCCCAATTCCAGAAGAGAATAACCTGGGTCATTCCTGCAGGGCAGTGCCTTGGTAATGTCCAAGACTCCAGGAAGAGATGTCCTTGTGGCTGGAGGCCCCGGTGCCTGATGTTTCTCCTGGTAAGTTTTCTCCATTCCAGCCTTCTCCCCTGAGCCCAGATCTTAGGCTCCTCTCCTCCCTTACAAAGCAATCTCCCTCATTACCTGCATTCTGCTCTCCTACAGAGAGCAGTACAGAGCTCATTCTTAGCCTTGCCTGCCTCCTGCCCAGATCACCTCTGTCCTGGTTCTGGTGCTGGCCTGTGCAGGTACCCGCCCAATCCTCCCCAATCTGGGCTTGCTGCTGGGAAGAGTTGGCATGCCTGGTGCTTACCCAGCTCGGGCTTTAAAGAGTTCTGTCTGATCAGAGATGAATGCATGCCAGTCCCACAGGGGGACAGAGGTTAACGTTTTAATTTAAGGTCTTGAGATACAAGGGACTATAAGTAACTAGTCCTAGAACCCACACAAACCCTAGGGTCTCAAGCCTGAGCTGGGGCTTTGCTGCCCTCTAAGCGTGGGGCTGAGTTTGCAGTTCCCCAGCTATGATGCTGAGGAAGCGGTCTGGGATGGAGCCTAAGAGTCTTTTCTGCTGCCCTTTTGGGTCTCAGACACTGCAGTGGAGCTGTGGGAGCCAGATGCACAAGATGTGAGCAGCAACTGCATCCTTGGAGGAGAAGCTAGGATGCCCCAATCTGTTGAGATGGGACTGGAGGCAGCAGAACCCAAAACTCTGTTCCCCAGGGCAGAGCCCCCTTCAGAACCTGCAGGTGAGGAGCTTCTGGATTTGAAGGAGGTAGGAGCTCCCTGGATCTGGGAGGGGTTCCTTATAATATCATGGTGGGGTCCAAAGGCTTTGGAGTTAATTAGGCCTGAGTGATCTGAGTGTGAATTTTGTCTCTACCTTTACACCTTTCTAAGCCTCAATTTCCTTATCTGTGAAATGGAAATAGTAATATGGTTGTTATAAGGATCAGTCCATATAAAGGGCTCATGCAGTGTGCAGGGCATAAGTGCAATTGGTGAATCAGAGTTTATAATAGAGAGACTAGACTGTATCATGAAGGGAATGCAGGGCAGTGGCTGGGTGGGAGAGAACAGTAAACTTTTTCCTTGGGAGAGAACATTAAGACCCTTCCCTGTTTCCAGAGTTCCGTCCACAAAAGCGAAAAAAGGGGCCAGCGCCTAAAATGCTGGGGAATGAGCTGTGCAGTGTGTGTGGGGACAAGGCCTCCGGCTTTCATTACAACGTGCTGAGCTGTGAGGGTTGCAAGGGCTTCTTCCGCCGCAGTGTCATCAAAGGAGCACGCTACATCTGCCACAGCGGTGGCCACTGCCCCATGGACACCTACATGCGCCGAAAGTGCCAGGAGTGTCGGTTTCGCAAATGCCGCCAGGCTGGCATGCGGGAGGAGTGTGAGTGTCCAGGACTGGAGTGGAGGGAGAGGCTGAGTGAAAGAGGTGGGTCGGGGTGTGAGGGCATCGGGCACCTGAGCCTGCAGGGTGAAGAGGCTGAAGCGGGAGGATCCCTTGAGGCCAGGAGTTGGAGGCTGCAGTGAGCTATCGTTGGACCACTGTACTCCAGCCTGGGTAACAGAGTGCGACTCTGTCTCTAAGAAAAAAAGGATCTGGCTCGGCACCTGTGGCTCAAGCGGCTAAGGCGCCAGCCACATAAACCTAAGGTGGCAGGTTCAAATCCAGCCCGGGCCTGCCAAAACAACAATGATGGCTGCAACCAAAAAATGGCCAGGCGTTGTGGCGGGCGCCTGTAGTCCCAGCTACTTGGGAGGCTGAGGCAGGAGACTCGCTTGAGCCCAGGAGTTGGAGGTTGCTGTGAGCGTGATGCCATGGCACTCTACCCAGGGGGGATAGCTTGAGGCTCTGTCTCAAAAAAAAAAAAAGAAAAAGAAAAAAAAGATCTTTTTCTTGCCTTTCTCCAGCGATCTCCGCTTTTTTGGAGCCCATACCACCCCTCTATGCCCCATCCTTGCTTCCTGTCTCACCTCTTCTTTCCTTACACCTGTTCCTGTCCTTAGGTGTCTTATCAGAAGAACAGATCCGCCTGAAGAAACTGAAGCGGCAAGAGGAGGAACAGACTCAGGCCACATCCCTGCCCCCAAGGGCTTCCTCACCTCCCCAGGTCCTGCCGCAGCTCAGCCCAGAGCAATTGGACATGATCGAGAAACTGGTTGCTGCCCAACAACAGTGTAACAGGCGCTCATTTTCTGACCAGCTTCGAGTTACGGTACTTGACAGATCTGGGAAGAGGTGGCTGCACCCAGAGCATCAGTGGGCTTCTTGACGTCTGATTCAAAGCGGTTTGCCTTTTCCCTCCTTGCCTTGCTAAGTAGCCTTGGCCCATGGCACCAGATCCCCAGAGCCGGGAGGCCCGTCAGCAGCGCTTTGCCCACTTTACGGAGCTGGCCATCATCTCTGTACAGGAGATCGTTGATTTTGCCAAACAGCTGCCTGGCTTCTTGCAGCTCAGCCGGGAGGACCAGATTGCCCTGCTGAAGACCTCTGCAATTGAGGTGGCTAGAACAGGGCAAGGGATAAAGGGAGAACCAGATTGGGGTTATCTGTGGGAGGGGCCTCCAGACATCCCACTGGGAGAGCCAAATCCAGTGGGAAGTGGGGATGAGGAGAATCGATCTTCCCTCAAAGGGGCTATGTAGCAAGACCAGCCCTCCTAGATTGTGTTTGAGATCTGCTACTTGTATGCAGGTGATGCTTCTGGAGACATCTCGGAGGTACAACCCTGGGAGTGAGAGTATCACCTTCCTCAAGGATTTCAGTTATAACAGGGAAGACTTTGCCAAAGCAGGTGGGAACTGAGATCACAAAGGGATTGGGGTTGGATGGTCAAGTGATTCTGGTCATGGGCCCATAGTGACTACAGAGACATAGGTCCAAGTTTTAGGTGGCTAGAAAGGGAAGGATCCTCTTTTTTTTTTTTGCAACAGAGTGTTGCCCTCAATAGGGTGCCGTGGTGTCACAGCTCACAGCAACCTCAAACTCTTGGACTTAAGCAATTCTCTTGCCTCAGCCTCCCAAGTAGCTGGGACTACAGGCACCCACCACAATGCCTGGCTATTTTTTGTTGTTCTTGTTGCATTTGTCATTGTTGTTTTAGCTGACCTAGGCTGGGTTCAAACCCACCAGCCTGGGTGTATGTGGCTGATACTATAACCACTGTGCTACAGTGCTGAGCCTCCTCTTGTTTTTTGAAGACAGAAAATTAGAATGCTGATGGACCTTTGTCCTGTGTTGCTTTACGCCAGTGGTTTTTCACACTGTTTCCAAGGAATCTGAGGGGTTTCTGGAAGTGTCACTTTGGAGGAGAAACAAGGAAGCATAGGAATTGTCTTTCATCCTTACTTTAACCAAACAAGAAGCTCCATTTAAATCTGCATTATATATTACGCTTCTGCATAACATTTTGCTTAAAAGATTTTACAGCTAGAAAAAGAAAGTTTGAAAACTACTGCAAAAACCTTTTAGCAGTCAAAAAATGGACAAATCTTTCTCAGATGTGCTCTTTAGGGATCTTGGAGGCTGATTTTCCCTACTCTATTTCAATCGCTCTTTCTAATAAACTGGCAAACTGGAGCTGAAATGTGGCACATGAGTCCAGAAGGGGCAGTTGTAAGAGTGAATGCATCTATCCTCATCCTATATTGGGAGTATCTTCTCCAAGAATAGTTCACATTGGCTCAGCGCCTATAGCTCAACCGGCTAAGGCGCCAGCCACGTACACCTAAGGTGGCGGGTTCGAATCCCCAGCCCAGACCTGCCAAACAACAATGACGGCTGCAACCAAAAAATAGCCGGGCGTTGTGGCGGGCGCCTGTGGTCCCAGCTACTTGGGAGGCGGAGGCAGGAGACTCGCTTGAGCCCAGGAGTTGGAGGTTGCTGTGAGCTGTAATGCCACGGTACTCTGCCCAGGGGGACAGCTTGAGGCTCTGTCTCAAAAAAAAAAAAAAAAGAATAGTTCACATTGCCACTCTCTAGCTGATGCTTGCTTGGGGGCTAAGCACACGGCCCCCTCATATTCAGTTGTTGGTAATGTTTGTATTCCAGGAGCAGGGCTGGGAATAGATGGGAGGCTGAGAGTTTGGAAGTAACTGGAACTGAGCCTGCACAGGAGACCTTGTAGCTTGATAGCTGAATAGGTCTGTAAAATATGGTTGATGCTGTACCTCCATTCTCAGGGATGGTAGATCTGTTTCTAGGGCAGAGTCCATAAAGCCTTCCCTGGTTTCAGGCCAGTTCATGTACCTCTTATCCCAACACAGGCCACTCAGTGAACTTTCTAGAAAGGCCTCTTTTAACATAGGACATGACAGGGCTGTTTGTGTACCTCTTGCCTTGTCTAGTGCCTAGGGTGCTGCCTGAATATATAGGCACCTAATCAGGGTAATCTGATGACTGTGCTCAGGTTTAAAGCCCAGCCCCAGGCCAGGTGCAGTGGCTCACACCTCTAATCCTAGCACTCTGGGAGCCTAAGGTGGTGGATTGCCTGAGCTCAGGAGTTTAAGATCAGCCTGAGCAAGAGCAAGGCCCATCTCAAAAAAATAGTCAAGTGTTGTGGTGAGTGCCTATAGTCCCAGCTACTTGGGGGGCTGGAGCAAGAGGAACGTTTGAGCCCAAGAGACTGAGGTTGCTGTGAGCTATGATGCCCTGGCATTCTACCCAGGGTGACAGAGTAAGTGTCTCAAAAAAGAAAAAAGCCCAGGCCCACTTCTCTACCAACCCACCCTTCCCCTAAATTGTTATTATCCCAGACCTTCTCAACCAGGGCCTTCTTTTTCTTTGGAACATCTTCCTTTCTAAACCCTTCCCAGGTCTAAGGTCTCTGTGTTCCTTCAGCACTCGTGAACTTGTGCTGTCTGAATCTGTACCTATTTATAGATTTATTTACATAAGCAGTTTTGATGTCATCATGTTTGTCTTTCTCATTTCATCAGTGAGGTCTTGAGGAGAAGGGACAGGGGCTCTATTCTGTCAGGTCTTCTTCCCCCTCTACATCCACTACCATTTGCTGCACGTGGTGGATGACTAATGACACAGACTGAGCATGTTTGAGGCATTCATTCAGTGAGCATTAGCAGACCCTCCCAGGGGCATAACCCAATTCCAGAACTTCCTCTGTACCTCTGTAAAAAGGGGCTGTTTGGCACACTTTGAGGCTCAAAACCTCACCAAGAAATGCTTTATAAAATAGGAGTTGCCCATTAAATGGACCAATACACAAATCTTGATAAACATCAGGGTAAAAGTACAGGAAGTGACTAATCAAGAAGCCTCAAATGGAAAAGTATAGCAGATGGTTGCTGAAAGAAATCTGACAAAGCCTAGGGAACATGTGGGGTGCAGACTTTTTTTTTTTTTTTT